CCCCTTTCATTCAAAAAAAAAGTTAATCATTTTTTTTGCGAGAGAATTAATCATTGACCCCATAGGGATGTGATGACGCATATGCTTAGGTTACCATCTCCATTCCCTCCATCGATCGTGCCTTACACTCACAACAAATACTTAAACTGAATGTACTCACCAAACAAGATTACTACTTCCCGTACCATTATTGACATCGTGACATACAAGGGTTCATGTACTTTCGAGGCCACCTGATGGTTATGAAATCGTCGAGAACGTGAGATCGCAGGTCAACTACTCCCAGATACATTGCACCCCCACCATGGCCACCACCCCGGCCGGCTCGTTCTCGAGCTCCCTACCTATATAAACCACGAGTGTGCGCTTCTCTCCCAGGATCAACACAAAACCTCTAGCTAGCTAGTGTCTTTACCTCGCGCCGCCCGAAGACATGGCATCCGCAACGACGATGCACCATCGGCGCCGCTCCATTATCCAGCTGGCCCTCCTGCTCCTGGTGACGTCACCGGCGGCAATGCTGGCGGCCGGCGGAGCCTGCGAGAGCGAGGAGTTCCCGGCCGGCAGGAGCTACGCGACGTGCGCGGACCTCCCGACCCTCGGCGCCTCGCTGCACTGGAAGTACGACGCGGCGGCCTCGTCGCTGTCCCTGGCGTTCGCGGCCAAGCCGCCGGGCACGAGCGGCGCCGGCTGGGTGGCCTGGGGGATCAATCCCACCGGCGACGGCATGAAGGGCGCGCAGACGCTCGTCGCCTTCAAGAGCAGCGGCGCGTACGTCGTCAACACGTACAACCTCACCGGGTACCGCCCGCTCAGCGCGGCGTCCACGCCGATCGCGTTCGAGGCCACCGAGCTCGCCGCCGACGAGGGCGCCGACGGGAAGGTGCGGCTCTACGGCACGCTGCAGCTGCCCAAGGGCATGGAGGCCGTGAACCACATCTGGCAGGTAGGGTCGACGGTGGCCAATGGGGTGCCGGCCAAGCACGCGTTCGCGCAGGAGAACCTGGAGGCGAAGGGCAGCCTCGTGCTCACTGGTGCCGGAACAACGGACGCCGCACCGGCTCCGGTGGCCGGTGGCCCGTCGGCCGAGCAGGCTACTGGTTGTTAACAATAATACTTTAGAGTTAAGATAACTAGGATCTGGATCTCTTGATTAGAACACCCATCAAGCAGAATAGTGGTTACTAACCGTGATTATCTTGATCCATTAACAGGATAGCCCCTGGCTCCACCTTAGCATCTCCAGCAGTGAGAAGATCGTCGGGAGGAAGGGCATCAGCAGGCGATGTAGCAGACACGAAGGATGCCGCCGGCACGGACCTGGAGGTGGCCGGCGGTGGTGGTGGTCTTCTGATCCCCTTAAGCACCTTTTCAGGATCGGCTGTTAGGAGTAACCGGGTGCTAACCCGTACGTGTGTCACCCCCAAGGGGTACGACCTCCTCATTTTGTAAGTGGTGCGAAGGGGACAGGGACCAAAACCAAAAGTTGGGTCAATGCCCCCGATCAGGGCATGTACTGGGGATGCAAATCCTCCCCTTCTTTGTCTCAGTTTGTTATAACCGTAGATCAATTCCAACATTCTCCCCCTTGATCGTATGGTTAATAAACGTCATAAGCCCACACTCGATAGAAATAACACACCAAAATAAAGTGTTGCAATGACCAATGAGATGCCACTGAACCTCTTTACCTATAGTACATCACTCTATCTCGAAATAGAAAACATAATACCTTTTGGGAGTTGGTTTATAAGATGGTCCTAATTTCCAGGATCAAAAAGCTTTCCTAACCCATGCCGGCAACATAATCATGAGTATGGGTGGTGAGCCTCTTTGGTAAACGGATCCGTAATACATATAAATCATTTTTATATGCTTAACATCATTAGCTTGATCTTGGATTCTATCTTTCACAACATGATACATATTGTCAATGGTTTTGGCAACACCATTTGACTTGTTGTTACTCGCATAGAAAACTGCGTGTTCATAATGCAGTAGGTGGTTTTTATAAATGTTGTCTACCACCTTAATTTCGGGAATAGAACTTCTTTGACATACAACCCGCCCAATAGCCTCTTAACGTGCCACATCGTAAATTGCATTATTTCTAATGCCATCAATGTCATTATGGAGCTTTTCCACGATATAGCTCCATATGCGAGAGTGAGGATGTAACATAACGTGGAAACTTTAATATCCACACACCTCGCAGAAACAATGTCTGAATAACCAAGGATATTGAGGTTATCAGACTTGTTAGTAGTGAGCATGTAAACTTTTATTGCCTTGCATATCTACAAGACTTTTCACGGCTTCTCCGGTTGTCCATTTCTGGACTTGTATATTTGCCAATTATCCCGGTCATAAATAGGGCAAGTTGATATTTGAATACTTGCATTGCTTCTGACAACTGAAGCATAAGGAACTAACATTACCTGATCAGTTCATAATGGTTTCTTGGACACTAAACTGTCCACCTTTATTGCCCTTGAATTTAGTAGCAGGTGAGATAGAGTACGTACTACCATGTAATATTTTCTTCCGTACTCTATCAATGATGTCATCATAATAAAACTTATACTCCTTTTGAACCTATATCTTGGCGAAACTCAATAGAAGCAAAGTATGAGGCATCACCAAGATCCTTCATGTTACAAATAGAAGATAGAAATTACTTGGCTCGCCAAAATATTCTATCTCCACAAGGTAGTGACCTTACTCCCCCTCGTCTTATGGTATGAATGTCCCAACACTTGTATTATCTCATAATTGTATTTCTTTAGATAACATGCCTTATGTCAACTTCACCCATGACAAAACCGTACAGTTGAGTCATACATACATTATCAACTAAGTCAACACAAGAGCATGTCATAGTAATAACACAAATGTCACAACAACTCAGTGAGGAATTCTATGGAGTTCCATACATCATTAGGGCTCATAATCTTCATCCTATATGGCAACAAGCCACTAAGATGATCATTCACACACATTATCTATTGTCGGGAAATTGTTGAGTCTCAACAATAAGTATTGCATTAGAGAAAAATAAATTCCCCTCAATTTACCTGATGCATATGAACAAAGACCTAATGAAGTTATCCTTAAGATTAATGTTCATACGCTCCAGGTTCCCTGATGATCACTTTATTTAGAAGATGGAAAATATATCCAAAATATTAATAACAATCATCTCAGCTCTAAACCACAACACCGTTGGGCTGAAGATGGAAAAGAACTTAATGAACCGTGACAAATGATTATAAACAACGTTAGTCAGAAATATAACCACAAGCCACATAATACTGACAAACATGCCACTTGAGTGAGTGTCCCATATGATTATAAACGACGTTGGTCAGATATATAATCAACATGTTACATCATGACGGTCATTAGACTAGCAAGCTTGCCACTTTAGCATTCATGTGTGCTTCATAATGCTCATAAGGGACTAAGTACACATTAACATAATAAAGGAGTTATTTTTCATTCATTCTTCTAAATAAGACTTGTTGCATCTTAATTAGACAACCAACATTATAATGTGCTTTTCATACATTCTCTCCAACCAAGACTTCTCGTTGGTTCCATCTTAATTAGAGAATTGAGATACATATTTTGCTTAGTTGTACATGATATGGTCTAAGTAGGAGAAGTGAACGTCACATCTCATATTAAATGAGACTTCCATTCTCCCCCTCGAAATGTGGTCTAAAACCACAATTTTGATGAGGTCTCATTAGTTACACTTCTTTTACATCTTCAATTGTAACATAGCATATAATCTTTACAAAAGATTTATTTAGTGAAAACATAACTCATCTCACCAAGGTGGGACTAACATTACATAATTGGAGTTAACTTAATAACATACAAAATCACCTCATCTGTTTGAGAGTTAAGGTTCTCCAATAACTAGGAGCATGAACAAAATATCATCAATAAGATGGAAAAATTAAGTCATCTCCAAAAGCTAGTGGAATAAATCCAATAGTTTTGACTTTAGTCTCCTTTGCATTAGTAATGTGCATGATGGCACATGCGTCTTGAGATCTCTCCCAATGTCTGCCTTATCATCATGATTAACATCCTTCAACCTTAGTGGCAGAAAAACATTGGGAGATTCCTTACATGAGA